GGCTGCAGCACTCCATGACCTGTTTCAGCAAGGGTCCCCTCAAGGGTGTAGCACTTCAGGAACAGACAGCTTCAGTGTGGGTCCCCCACCAGGTCACAGGTCCTGCTAGCAAACCTGTTCCACTGTGGGCTTCTTTCTCCCTGGGGCCACAGGCCTGCCAAGAGCCTGCTCCAGCACAGGCTTCCCAGGTTCACAGCATCCTTCAGGCATACCCCTGCTCCACCATGGACCACCATGGGTTGCAGGGGACATCCTTGTCTCACCATGTTCTGCACCATGGGTTGCAGGGGAATGAATCTCTGCTCTGGCACCTGGAGCACCTCCTCCCTCCTTCCTCACTGACCTTGGGGTCTGCAGAGCTGCTGCTCTCACACATTCTTACTCCTCTCTCCAGCTACAGTGACATGGCTTATTTTTTAATTCCCCTTGTAAATATGTTATCCCAGAGGCACTACCACTGCTGCTGATGGGCTTGGCCTTGGCCAGTGGTAGGTCCGTCCTGGAGCAGGCTGCACTGTCTCTGTCAGACATGGGGAAGCTTCCAGCAGCCTCTCACAGCAGCCATCCCACAGCCCCCCCAAACCAAAACCTTGCCATGCAAACCAATACTAAAGACATAACCTCATTTGTTTTTTCCACTGCATTTCCTCCTTTGTCAAAAGGTAGAATGAAAGTGTTCACTTGATAAAGAGCTACTCGGTTTTTCGTCTGACGTCCCTCTTTCGAGCTTTTCTGCCATCTTCAATTCCTCTTCCCCCATGTTTAAGTGCCTCTTAATCATCCTCTCCTACTTCTTTCACAACCACCCCATCATTCCACCCCAACAGCTTCTAGTGCCATTCTATCCCTCTTCAATCCCCCCTCATTCGTCCTTTCATAAACACACCACCAACTCAACTCCTCATTCCAAACTTCTGCTCATCCACTCTACTCCAGTCCCCTGGTTTCATTCATCCTGCCATTACCAAATGAGCATGGGGATTACAAAGCCATCAAGCATCTTCCTCAGGCCAAACTCCCAGTTGTCCACTTCCACTGCTCATCCTCATGACAGTACAGTGGTGGAACAGGCACACTTAGTTATTCTGTGGTGCCAGCAGACACATCCAAACAATGAAAAGAGCACACCATGTCTTGCACAGGTGGAATCACTGAAGATTTTTACACTAAGACTGCTGAAGCTGAGACCTGACACAAAAGTAGTCGAAAAAAAACAACTCATCAAATACCGTGTTTCTCATCCAAACCACTGAGGCATCACATCACAGCACCATGTACTCCGGAAAGCTCAATAGTTTAAAACTACCGTAAGTACAAAGCTTTCTTATATTCCCATTAGTAGTCCTGCTTAAAGATGTTAATTCTCAGAAAATTTCTAAGCAATATGCTTTTGAGTATTTTCTCTGGACATCACTGGGTAGGCAAATGTCACCTCAAAGCTTCCTGAGCTTCCCAAAGGCATAACTACTAGCTTTGCAAACTGTAGTTTGTCTCCGATACAAACAGGCAACAGTCTCCTCTCTTGTCCCAGGAAAATGCAGATATTGGCTGGTATCAAGATACTGGAATTCCCATCTCAGCATATTTCCATTCCACCTCTCCTCCCTAAACCAACTACCTCACACAGGCAAGTATTCAAACTTCTGGTTATTTCAGTGTGATCCTCTCACAATTACTCCTTAGGGAGTTATCCTGTTTTTTATGCATACTTAAATATTCACCAGAAACACAAACAAGGAGAACAGAACTAACAGGAAAAAAAAAAAAATTGAAAGATAAGTGTTTTTTAAAAAAATCTTTAATTGCCCACAGAATGCTGTTGGGAAGATAACAGACAAGAACTTAAAGCACTCCTGCAGGAAGGTACCTTCAACCTATCTGATAGTAGTGAAGTTGGCTGGATGACTCACATCAATGTGATGCCAGAAATCAAGATACATAACCTATTTAGAAAGAGCAAAAATGGAGAACAAACGGTACTGTATGCCAAAAATGTCTGTTTCTGAGTCACTGACAACAGAAAATCATGTCTTAAGAAATAAAGCACAAGTCAGGATACTAGCTGTGATTTACTACAGACACGAAAGCTTGCATAGCATGGCGGTTAAGCATCTATTGCATGTTGTGGGAAATAAAAATTTCATTATCACACTGGACATAACACAGAGTGAGATAACCTGGAGCTTTTATGCTGCCATTATCAGAACATGCTTGAAATTTCTAAAAATTGAGGACAATTTCTTATACTGAGAAATGTTAAATCTAACCCAAGGGAAAGCTGCGCTCGACTTCATCCAGACAGATAACAAGTACCCCACTGTGTCACAGAGAACAAATACAGAACAAAGACTGTTCTTGCCCCCAGGTCTTAGAAACAAAGGACATATTCCCAAACAAATCTTTGCAAAATGACTTAAGTGGTCCCACCCCCTACCCATGCTATCTCCTCAGCTGTGCTGGCACAACTGGCTGTTGCAATGCATTGCAAACCATTTCAGGAAAACAGATCTGAGTTAAACTAGAATAGGAACCTGATCCAACCTTCTCCTCATGCCCCTCTCCCCGCTTCTGGCCCCTTTTTATCTTTTTTAAGAGTATACTTATGAATTTTCAGATTTCGTTCTTGACCTGGTACAACTGAGGTGACAGAACAAGGCAGGAACACACATCTGCTGGCTGAAAACTTTTTAGCTTGATTTGCCAACAAACATAAGAAACAAAATACAGATAAAGCAAAAGAAGGACTCGATAAACAATCGTTGTGATAGGTAATAGTTTATTCTTCTAAATTTCAAACCTTGCTATTCCAAAATGCAAACATTTAGAATAAAGTATCAAGAAAACTCCAGTTTTTACTTATCAACTAGCATGTATCAAATGCAAGTTTGCATTTATAAGAGCTTTCTTTATTTTGATGGTTGTGCCTACTCCGAAATCTTTTGCCTTGCCTTGGGGCTGAGCAGCTATATTAACACAGTCTTGCACCTTGATAACTACCAACATACAGATACACACAATTCCTAGTCACTCAAATTTTATTTCACAGGATTTAACTGTATGCTTCAGTGGGGAGACACTCTTTCAGTACACAGAGTATTATTCTTCAACAGAGATACAGACTGTGTGCATGAGCACACTTATTTATCCCTCATTTCACCACATTTCCATAATGCCTTTATCTAATGGCTCTTTCACTGAGTCTTCCTGTTAGCATATTTATCCTTTCAACATACTTCCAGTTTTGTTTTTGACTGTGGGTATCTGTTTTTATTTATATCTGGTCCACTTACTCAGCATCTTATTTCTTGAGATGGCTTTATGGCACACATGTACTACAAGAGGAATTACACACTCATTTGTTAAGAAAAAAAACAGCTGTTTTCAAGATTGCCTGGCTATACTCCAGTGCTTAAGACAAGAAGGACTGTTATTTCTCTAATGAATCAGGATACTTTTTTCCTTCAAGCACAGAGGTATACAATGGCTGCAAAGTACAATAGACCTCCTAACTCCCAGCATTTAGCAGAAATGAAACACAAATGAGGTCCTCTACACCTGATCCTAAGCCAAAATATACTTCAGTAAAGGAATGATGAGCAACAGGAGAACCCATTTTTCCTGAGTCTCACCAGGAGCTTTTGTCATCCAGCTGCATAAAGCTGACATGGCAAAGAAAGCTCAGTAGGCCAGTGCAGTATGTATATTGCAGCTGAAATGTCCAGAGAATTCAAAACAAATATCTTAAAATACTTAATTGCAAATGGAAAATGGCAACTTTATGAAACTTATAATTCAGAAAAATCCAGCCTAGCTGTCTTGGGAAACAGTGCACAATTTCCAAAGACATCTTCTTATTAAATTTCATCTTTCTTATCTACTTCTTGGAGATGCCTGGAGGGACTTAAGAGTAATCAAGAATATCTTCAATACAGTCAAAAACATTTTCTATGTGTCCTCCTCAAAAAAATATTTAAACTTTGACTTGAAATTCGCAGCAAACAGGAAAACTTCCAAATTAACAACTGGAGTACCAAGAGGAACACCGTACTATGACAGGCCAGACTATACATATACAAACATCAAGAAACATAAATACCAACATTCAGTGCCACCTGTGCTTCAGGTACAGACCTGCTTCCAGTCAACATCAGAACTGGTCAATCTGCAGTCCATCTGACACCATGTACATTCTAAACATCATCACTCTTTCTAGACATATGATAAAGAACACTTTCGTTCACTTGTCTGCCTGAGAAAAAAACCCATTTACTGACAGAGGAGTTTCCTAAATTTACCACTGTACTAAATATATTGTTTCAGCTAGTATTGCACCTGCTAAGATAAAACTTATTTCAGGTAGATATTAAAAAACAGTACTTCCGAACCTTAAATGACTATACAGCAGGCTTTGCACAGACTGATCCCCTTAGATTTTTGCTGGGCAACAGGAAGCTGGAAGAATCCAGAAATTAACTGTAAAGCAGAAACACCTAGAATTAGCCTGATAAATTCTACAGTTCATCTTTCCTCTTCGTTCACCTGCTCATCAGAATACAAACTTCAGTTACATCAAGCTGGAGGCGAATACTCTTCAGGAAAGTGCAATGCGAATAAATGCAACTACATAAAACTGCACTGCTACACAGTCAGGTGATCTCTTATGTTCAGGAGGGATGGGGCAAGAAGAAGAAAGGCGTGCCGTCCCTTCCAACAGTAGGGACATAAACATGAACAGGCTGCGAAACTACACCAAGGCCATTCCATTAACAGAGTGGGTCTGTAGCTGCAGGGAAACTACTTGTGGGTCCCAGCTTCATTCCTAGAAGCAGCCAGCCGTAAAACAAAACCCACTGCCAAAACTGGCACTGATAAATGACCAATGATGAGCTGAGCAGAAAAGCAATAGTTATAGAAAATTGAATGCTGTCTTTTCACTTTCCAGAAAAACATGGTCGCATTAGCGGTACAGTGTGAGGAATGCTGTGAATAGTTAAATTCACTAACAGCAGTCAGTCCTCATTCCAGAGTCTTCCTCTGAAAAATAAAAAAAAAAGTGTGCATATATAATGCACATTCTAACCATGTCACTTAAAAAACTGAGGAACATCCATGAAAAACAACTAATTTAAACCCATTAAATTGTACTTCAGGAATTCTGTATATTTCAGTGCAAATCGGTGAAACTGATCTACAGGCTAAGCAGACAGATATATGACCACACTTACAAAGAGAATACAACAGTCTCCTATAATGCACAAAAAAAAAAAAAATTCATAGGGCATCATTAAATTTCATAAGCAAATGTTTTCCTGCCAACTGTTATCCAATTTGTTTCAGTAAGCGAGTGGAAAAAAATAAAAAAAGATATCCATTCATTCTTTGTCTGTATGCTTAACTTCAAAGAATTCCAGGAATCTATTGTAAATCTAAAAAAACTCCTCAGTCACCACAGCACATTGTTCCCTAAAGGAACACTGGGTCAAATTCAAAGTAGCAGCAATAGAATTGCATTCAGAACTTTTTCTATAGAGCCTGCAATGGACAAAACCTCCAAAGTCAGCACCGAGTCTTCAGGGGGCAAAAGAAAAAATATGGCTGTGAACTTAAAAAGAAGGGAGACCAACAGATAAATCCCCACTGAGTAATTATAAGGAGAGGCTCTCCCAAACATTAGCTAACCAGTACATAAAAGGCAGTTCAGTAAAGACCACAGTCAAGTCAACTAGTGGATTAACATACAGTCATAATTGGCTGCCATCACTGAATAAGCAACCTGAAGAAAACAGACAAAATCCAGCCACTGGTGAAAAAACCTCCAATAATTAAAGATATTTCAGTAAGGCAGACAGCACTCTGAGCATGCACTATGCTTCTGAAATGACGATTCCCCTGGCCACCTCCAGCTGCTCAGTACTGTTGGCCTGCTGGAAGTTTTCATCTCATTCCTACACTTACAAACACCTGCTAACCTATTTCAGACACAAAGAGTCAGGTTAGCTTTAACACTGTAATTATTACACCTGCCTTTGCCTACCCTCTTTTGATAAAGGTGGTATGGGGAGTGCCCAGACCAGCACCAGGGGTGGCACACAAGACCTCCAGCACAGGCAGGCAGGAAGTAACGGCAGCAACTTCGACAGCGGAGACAGCCACTGCTTGGGGCTTCTGTCTACAGCCACCCTGCGAATTTAGACCAGCACTTTAGTGAGCAAAACACAAGGTGAAGTAATATCTGAAACACTCAGAACACCAGATCAATTCCCAACCCAGAGGACCATATGAAGACACGCTTCCTATATTTTACATTGGTATCACCTAGTGATAACCCCCTAAGCCATTAAGTATCTTTGACTGCCAAGTCTTTAGTTTTTCCTACACAACGGCTTTATCTTTTCCTACCTAATTACATAATACCTTATTTTAATGTCCCACAGACATCTCTAACCAACAGGCTATTATCAGACAGCTTTACCAGGGACAGTATAACATATCGCCAATCCCCTTTCACACACAGTCTCATTAATGACACCAAGAAAATATTAATGATTGCTAAAAGGACTCCACCTTTTCGCTGTACTAGTGGTAACTGCGCTTCTTCGAAGGCAGTGTCACCATCCTACTCTTTACTGTGCCACCCAAATTATGGTGCAGTTTAGACCAGCTAGCTTTGCAATTGCTGTTGATTTTATGACACCTCTTTAACCAGTGTTGGTATGTCCTTATCAAGGTCTGGTACCTGCTTACTGAAACTTAACTACCTTTGCCAAATACTTCATGCAGCAATAACATAACGTTGATGCCACATCTTGTGTGGAGTCATTAAGCCCTCCTACATGAGATGGAGCAGCTTGGCTCACATAACATCACACCTAAAAGTTAACTATCTGGAGGGAAAGCAGCACATTCTTTATTGAAAGCTTCGGTATTTAGCTTCAAATAGAAAAAAAAAAAAAAGGATTTATTTAAAAAGCAAAGTGCATGCCCTTTTGTGAAAGCACTACAGATGCTCAACATCTGATGTTTTAGGATTATGAGTTTGGAGTCATCTCATTGCCAAAAAAAACCAACTTGCAGTAATAAAATGAAAAATCACCCCCCTTTGTTTCACAACTCAGAAGTGACAAATACCTCGGGTAGCTTTTGAAGCTGCCAGACCAACCACGATAAACTTCAGAGAGAAGTTTTCAATCACACGTAACTAGGATAGCAAAACGCTGGGCGAAAGTGACCCCTCAAAGCCTGAGTGTACTCTGAAGTTGGGAGAATTATGCTCATTTACAACTTGCATTAGGTAACATGGAAAACTGACAAGTCTTGTTTTGTGGAAGCGACTGATCACAGCACCAAAAGCTGCAGCAACGACTGCGGCCGTGTACTTGGGAAACCTTTAAACCGTTCAGACAGCTGCGAACGATTGCTGCCACCAGGCGCTCTGGGCTCCATCCCGGTGTAGGAAGATGCAAACACGTGGAGCAGCTGCCACGGGACAAGTGCCCGACACTGAGGCCCCGGTCCCGCGCGCACCCACACCGGTTCCACCGGGGCCGCGGCACCGGCCCGAGGCCGAGCCCGAGCCCGCCCCACGGAAGGACGGGGGCGGCGCGGAGAGACCGGGAGCCGTCCACTGGCACGAGCCACAGACCCCTCCATGCCCGCCGCCGCCTCAGGCCCGCAGCCGCGCACACGCAAGGCCGCGCGCCCAGTGCTCTCGCCAGGGACGGACTGGGAGGGGATCACGGCGGGGGGAGGCCGGGCGCAGCGGCCGTCCTTCCGCTCGCCACGGCCGCTGACGGAGAAAAAGCAGCGACCCCCTCCCGCAGCCCCGCTTGCCCCTGTCCCCGGCGGGTCCCGGCCGGTCCCGCAGCACATACCTGGCGCCCATCGCCAGCGGGGCGGGGCTGCCAAACCGCGGCCGCTCTGACTCCTGCTACCGCCCACCCCCACTCTGGCGCCACTTCCGGGGTCCGTGATCGGTGACGCCAGCGGTCGGCGCCGCGGCGGAGAACCCGGAAGTGGAGCGGGAAAGGTGGCTGTCGCGGTGCTGCCTTGTCCCATTCTGGCCCGGGCCGCGTTCAGGGTGGGCGCTGGGCTGGAGGCCTGCGAGGGGTGAAGCTCGGTCGGGGTAAAGTTCCGGTCCTGGTAAAGGCCCCTGGAGCTCGGGCGGCTCCCCGGGGCTGGCAGATTTCTGGAGAGGTCACGGTTCCACTTTACAGTTTGACAGCTTTGCTTTTGTAAAAAGAAAATATTTGACAGAATCGTCACAGGATCACAGACTGGTTTGGGTTGGAAGGACCTAAAAGCTCATCCAGTTCCAACCTACTGCAACAGGCAGGGACACCTTCCACTAGACCAGGTTGCTCCAAGCCCCATCCAACCTGGCCTTGAGCACTGCCAGCGATGGGGCAGCCACAGCTTCTCTGGGCAACTTGTGCCAGGGCCTCACCACCCTCACAGGGAAGAACTTCTGCCTAAGATCACATCTCAATCTCCTCTCTGTAAGGTTAAAGCTGTTCCCCTTGTCCTGACCCTACAGCCCCTTGTCCAAAGCCCCTCTCCAGGTTTCTTGTAGCCCCTTTAGGCAGTGGCTGCTGCTGTAAGGTCTCCCCTTGAGGAGCCCTCTCTTAACCAGTCTAAACCAGCCCAGCTCTCTCAGCCTGTCTCCAGAGCAGAGCTGCTCCAGCCCTTGCAGCATCCCTGTGGCCTCCTCTGGACTTGCTCCAACGGCTCCATGTCCCTCTTGGTTGTTGCCCCAGAGCTGGACACAGGACTGCAGGAGGGGTCTCCCCAGAGCTCAGCAAAGGACCAGAATCCCTTCCCTCGACCTGCTGCTCACGCTCTGGCGATACAGCCCAAACCCCAAGCAACAAAAATGAACTGGTAGAATGTAGGAGTCAGGAACAAGTTTCAGGGGTGTTTTGCATGAGCAGAATGGCTAAAAAAGCGCCCTGTCGGTGATCTTTATGCACCCTTCTAATTGCAGGTCCAAAGAAAGATTGAAGGTGGAAAACCTCATTAAAATAAGGTATCACAGTATCACAGTATGTTAGAGATTGGAAGGGACCTCGAAAGATATCTAGTCCAATCCCCCTGCCGGAGCAGGAACACCTAGATAATGTTACACAGGAATGCGTCCAGGCGGGTTTTGAATGTCTCCAGGGAAGGAGACTCCACAACCTCCCTGGGCAGCCTGTTCCAGTGTTCCGTCACCCTCACTGAGAAGTTTTCTTCTCAAGTTTAAGTGGAACCTCTTGTGTTCCAGTTTGTACCCATTACCCCTTGTCCTATCATTGTTTGCCACTGAGTAGAGCCTGGCTCCGTCCTCGTGACACTCCCCCTTTATATATTTATAGACACTTATAAGGTCACCCCTCAGTCTCCTCCAAACTATAGAGACCCAGCTCCCTCAGTCTTTCCTCATAAGGGAGATGCTCCACTCCCTTAATCATCTTCGTTGCCCTGTGCTGGACTCTCTCCAGCAGCTCCCTGTCCTTCTTGAACTGAGGGGCCCAGAACTGGACACAATACTCCAGATGCGGTCTCACCAGGGCAGAGTAGAGGGGAAGGAGGACCTCTCTTGACCTACTAACCACTGCCCTTTTAATACACCCCAGGATGCCATTGGTCTTCTTAGCCACAAGGGCACAGTGTTGGCTCATGGTCATCCTGTCGTCCACTAGGACCCCCAGGTCCCTCTCCCCTACACTGCTCTCTAACAGGTCGTTCCCCAACCTATACTGGAACCTGGGGTTGTTCCTGCCCAGATGCAGGACTCTACACTTTCCCTTGTTATATTTCATCAAGTTACTCCCTGCCCAACTCTCCAGCCTATCCAGGTCTCGCTGGATGGCAGCACAGCCTTCTGGCGTGTCAGCCACTCCTCCCAGCTTAGTGTCATCAGCAAACTTGCTGATAGTACACTCAATTCCCTCATCTAAATCATTGATGAATATATTAAATAATACCGGTCCCAGTACTGACCCTTGAGGCACTCCACTAGTTACAGGCCTCCAACTAGACTCAGCCCC